AAAAATGGTTCTTTAACAAAATAAAGGATTTCCAAGCATCCCATGTGGAACGACCAGAGCTGAGTAGAAAATTTGACAAACTCCGGAGTCAAGAGAAATAGAAAAAGGTAAACATGAGTGAGAAATCATAAGGGACTAAACAAAATTTAGCTGTTTACTTTCCTAAATAGGGAGATGATACAAGTAGCCTCTCAGAACCCTATCATCATAGGGGATCACAGAAAGAGGAGAGAAGGTGTAAAAGTGATTATTATGTTTTGATGATATCAAAAGAAGAATGGAAAGGGTGAGGAAGAGGAATACAATGGGAAAGTGGGAAATTAAGAAGAAGAATGGGGAAAATTATCTCACATAAATGGAGTATGCAGGTAGAATTCTATACAACAAGTAGGTGACACTGCTGGAGACAGGGTGAGAATAGGTGACTCATGCAACTAAAAAAATTTCAACCTCACTCTCATCAGAACTGGTCAAAGGAGGGAAGAATACACATACACACAGAGGTGGATACAGAAATATGTCTTAACTATGGAAGCATTTTGCATGACTACACATGTATAACCTGTATTGAGTTGCTTGCCTTCTCAATGAGGGTGGGTGGGGAGGGAGGAAAGCAGAAAATTTGGAACCCAAAGTTTCAAAAACAAATGTTTAAAAAAATTTTTTAATTGTTTTCACATACAAAAAAAATTTTTAATTAAATTCTTAAAAAGAAATATGTCTTACCCAACAGGGAAATATTAGGGAAAGAGATCAAGGAATATGGTCTGTGGAAAGAATAAGAGAGAGGTTAGATTAGTCAGAAGAAAAACAAACTCTTAAAAAGGGGGCAGGAAAAAAAGAGAAAGAAAAATATAAAAGAATAGGATGGAAGGAAATACACATTTAGCAATCATAACTGTGAATGTGAACATGATTCATTCACCCATAAAACAGAATAGGGTAGCAGAATAGATTAGAAATCAGCAACAATATGTTGCTTACAAGAAACAAACTTAAGACTGAAAGATACACACAGATATAAAATAAGAGACAGGAGAAAAATCCATTATGCTTTAGCTAAAGTTAAAAAAAAAAAAACAGAATACCATGACATCAGACAAAGCAGCTACAAAAACATACCTAATTAAATGAGATAAATAGGGAAAATACATTTTACTAATGTATTAGTAAATTGACCAATGTATTAGTAAATTAGACAATTAATTAATATCAATGCAAAACATATGTGCACCAAATGATGTAGCATCTAAATTCTTCAAGGAAAAGTTAAATAAGTTACAGGGAGAGATAGATAGTAAAACTACAATAATGAGGGGTTTCAACTTATCCCTCTCAGATCTAAATAAATCTAATAAAAAACTTTAAAAAAGAAATGAATGGCCTGAAAAGAATTTTAGAAAAGTTAAATATGATAGACCTCTGGAGAATACTGAATGGAAAAAAAAAGTTTGCCTATCTCTCAGCTGTGCAAGGCATCTTCATAAAAATTGGCCATGTATTAGGGTACAAAAACCTCAGAAACACAACAAATATAGAAAAGCAAAGATATTAGATAAATCTCTTACCAACCATAATTAAATAAAACTTACATTCAATAAAATTCCTTAGAAATTAGTATTAAAAATTAATTAGGAACTAAGTAACATCCTAAAGAATTGGTTGATCAAAGAGCAAATCATAGAAATAACAAATAATTTCATTAAAGATAATGAGGGAGGCTAGAGAAAAGTAATAAGCATTTACTAAATGCCTACTGTTTCACACACTGAGGTAAGTGCTTTGGAAATTGTTATCTCATTTGATTTTCACCACAGCCCTGTGAGTTAGGTGCTATTATTACAGCATTTCAATTTTACGGTTGAGGAAATTGAAGCAGACAGAAGTTAAATTATTTTCCCAGGGTCACATAGCTAGTAAGTGTGTGCAGCTGAATGACAACAATGAGACAACAAACTAAAATTTGTGAAATTCGGCCAGCACAGTACTTAGGGGAAAAGTTATATCTCTCAATCCTTTTGCAATTAAAAAAGAGAGAGAGAGAAAGAACAGAGCAATGAATTAGTCATGCAACTAAGAAACCCAACCATTTAAAACCCCCAATTAAATGCCAAATAGAAATCCTGAAAATTAAAGGACAAATTAACAAAATTGAAAGGAAAAAAAATTAAATCAGTAAATCAAACTAAAAGCTATTGTCTTTTGACAAAACAATAAAATAGATAAGCTCTTAACTAATTTGATTTTTAAAAAAGAAAGAAGAAAACCAAAAAAGGTTTTAAACTTTCCTTACTCTTTGAACAAGTAGAAGTATCACTAGATACCACTAGCGATAACTCTTCTAGGTCTTTTCCCCAAAGCCAATAAAGAAATAGGAAAGCACTCATATAAAGAAAAATATTTATAGAAATTCCTTTCACAGTGTCAAAGAACTGGAAACTTTGGGAGTGCCCCTCAACTGGGGAGTGGCTGAACAAGTTATGGTATGCAAAGGTGACAGAATACTATTGTGCTGTAAGAAATAATGAAGGAAATAGTTTCAGAAAAACCTGGAAAGACATGTGAACTGATACAAAGGGAAGTAAGCAGAACCAGAACAACAGTTTATACAATAACAGTAACAACTTATTTTTGTTATTATTGATATATTGTATATATTGTTATATTGTATATATTGTTATTTAATTTTGTAAAGACAAACAACTTTGAAACACTTAGAAACTCTGACCAGTGCAATGATCAACCACAATTTTAAAGGACTCATGATGAAACAGGCTGTCTACCTCCAGTCAGAGAACTGATAGGTTCTGAGTACAAATTGAAGCATATGTTCTTTTCTTTTTCTTTTCTTTCTTTTTTTTTCTTTTTTTTTTTTTGGACATGGCTAATGTGGGATTTTGTTTTGCTCAACTATACATATTTGTAATAGGTTTTGTTCCTCTTGCTTTCTCAATGTGGGTGGGGGGATGAGGGAGGAATTCAGAAAGGAAAATGAGGTAAAATTGAATTTTTAAAAATTCCATTTGTTTTTTTCACTGAAAAAGAGAAATAGAGTCAATCTAAGAAAACAGTTAAGGACCATTGATTTCCTCCTTTCTTGGCCCCTATCTTGTCCCTCTGATGAAGTTACATTAAATATTCTTTCCTCAGCTGTTCAATCATTAGTTCCCCCTGTGTGCAGATGAGTCAATTTCCTCTCTGCTTCAGAGCACTGAAGGCTAAAGGGAAAATAAACCAAAGAGGCCTCCCTTCCAGTGATGCCCATAGGAAATGTTGCTTTCTCATTTACGCTCCAATGGATTCTTACTCTGCACAGTGTCCTGCCTGGCATGAATCACACGATATGAATTCCTTTGCACATTTGAATCTATCTAGTCTTTTCTGTCTCATCTCCTGTTTCATATGCAAGAATGCAACTACAACCCAAAATATCAAAACCTAAGGGATGATAAAGGGGCTTTCCACACTCACTTTTCCAACACTTCTAAGAAGCACATCACTATTTTACCTTTATTACAAAGTGTTTTTAGAAACCTGAAAGAAAAATAGAGTAAATCTCTAAGTCAGACTGAAATGAGTTCAAGTCCCATATCTGACATATCATAATGTTTTTACATAGCACTCTGAGATGTGCAAAGAGCTTTATAAATATTATCTCATTTTATCCTCACAACAACCCCGGAAAAGAAATGTTATTTACATACCATATATTACTCTATATTCCGTGTAGTATATATGTATTTGTAGATATATAATATATAGGAGATAGCATAATATGGTACATTATATAGTATGATATTACCATAATGTAATTAAGATAGTGTTAGTCATGAGAAAAAAACCCAAAATCTGAAATAGTTTTAGAAAGAAATGTATTAGGTCATTTATTAGAAAGAGAGCCAGAAAGAAGGTGTGGCTTTCTCCATGAGTCTTTGTGAGGTTACAGTATATGGAATTTAGACAAGAGCATAAGGACATTTGCTGATTGGCCTCACATAGTCAGTAGGTAGTCTCCAAGAGAAGGGCAGTTGAAGATGTAAAGCAGCAGGTTAGTCAATCTAATTTGCGGAACCCAAAATGCAAGCTTTGAGTCGACCCAAAACAAGATCTGAGGAGACCCAAAACAAGCGCTGAGTGAGATCTAAGCACTTCTTACATCCATCTCGATTTCTAGAAGTCTCTAAAGTCAGTCTGACCTCTACATTAAGCTTTTAGTTTAGTCAATTTTCTAGCCACATAAAGCTAGGTGCAACAATATTAAGAAAAGATAATTAATATTTTCTCTACAACAGATATGAAAAGTACAAAGAAATATACAAAGGCTTTTCTGAAATAATGCAAAGTGGGGCAAGAAAGCCAACCAGGGCAGAGTACACATTGTTTATAAACATATGTACTGAGATATGCCACATAGTTTCTCTGTAGGACCCAGAGACGCCCTGAAGGTTCAGATGAAGGAAGCTGAGTAAGAAAGGCATTGAAAGTGGTACTGTTCTAACACAGGACCAGAGCAGGGATAAAAACAGGTGAAATCAAAGTACAGGTGAGATTTTTGTGCAATCCTATGAGTTATCCACATGCCTTTGCATTTCTTTATTCCTTTACTCTGAGGAGGACTTCTAGCCCACCATTCAGTTCAGGCACTGGAGGGAGGCAGACAAATAGCTACAGTGAATCTACTGAGGGTCTTTACCTGTCATGTAACTTGGCCTCTGTTTGTGAATAAGGGGTAACAGGCAGTAGAACTGAGATCCTAGAACTGAAATAAAAGCTACCAGTCAAGATTGTGGCGAGTGCCTTCACTGAGGCATATTTGAGAGTGCAGAGCATAGAGGAGTGGATGGGGTATGATGGACTACAATCCTTCCCCAACCCTGAAAAACTGAGCAGTGTCAGTGAAAATATATTTCGGTTTGGAAGCTAATTGAGGGAATTGCTCTATGAGAGAGACACAGTTGACAATTCGGGTTGGTTTTGTTTTGTTTTATTTTGCTTTCAATTTTAGTTTACTGTATAATAAACCAGATGGCCACAGAAAAGCTGGTTTTCTATGGGGAAAAAACAATACAGAGATTCCAAACTGAATGAGGAAATTTTCCAACCAAGCAAAATAGAGGTAAGCCATACAGATTTTCACATTTTAATAATCTTGAGCCATATCCCTTAACCTACTTGTGGATTCATCCAAAATCCAATCTGTAAGGATTTCTCTTTTTCCAACTCTTTGAAGCCATGTATCTTGATGGGGTTGGAATGTTTATACATGCACATACAAGTCTGTTACTCTCGCTCCAAGGTTGATTAGACCACAGGGCTGGTGGCTGGGGTGACATGCCACCTGGAGGACAAAATTATCATTTATACTCCCTTGCAGATTAATGGTAAAGTGACACCAAGTCTTTTTGTAAGCCTAAAAAAGGCAGAACATGATCTAGTCATGAACAACTCTTGCTACTTCACCACCTCAGGTCTTACCTACCTCATATCCATGCAATCCACCTAAGTCACACCTAGAAAAAGAAAAGCAAATGGTAATAAATTAACAAAGGAGAAAGAATCCTGATGGCAATTTAGAGGGACTACCAACTGGAAAGCTATGGCATCTGGGGAGCTGAATTTCATTCATCTAACAGAAAAAGTTGCAAAAACAAGTTTAGTTGCTCATACTGATGTTCAGTAAAGTCTATAATATACTATTTTAAGATCTTAAAGCATTAAGCAAGTTTTTAAAATTACAACCTTTTTAGAAAAAAAATTAAATCACTAGTTTAAAAAAAGTTGGTCCTTATAGTTTTAGGAATTCATAGTTAGATTTGAAAAAAATCAATTTCTTTAATATTTCAATGGATCTCTGATTTCTTTGATGTGGATATTTTCTCCAGTGATATAGACTGCAACCTAACCATGTCTTCTCACTGTTCAAAATTATCAAATATAACCTCCTATCGTTTTCAAAAAAAAAAAAGAAAAAGATCCTTCTAATGAGCTGGAGACCTTACTCCTTAGGGATTTAAACATTAAACTTTTCCATCATTCAAGTTGTCCAACCTGATTTTACCTATTACAAATTCATAGTACATAATTTCTTGGGCTCCTGCTGATCACCAACAATCTTCTACTCAATCTTTATCAACTCCCTAGCTCATTCCCCAGAGTAACTATCCCAGAGCTTTTCTTTTCTCCCCTTGGTCCCAACTATACTCCCAACCCAAGGACTTACTTAAGAATAACTTGCCACTTCCTTCACCGAGAAGACTGAAACCATCAGATTAAAGCCCCTTGCCGCCATTTCTCAAAACTTTTCAGTGTCATTGCTTACTGTCTTCCTTCAAAGTCACAGAGACATATTTCTGCTCCTCACAGTCTATCCCCATTGCTTCTACCTTTCTTCCTGTTCCTTCTCGTCTCCCACAGGACATTGTTCTCAAAGTCATCACCTCTCCTACATTTTCGTTCTTTCACTTGCCACTGGCTCCTTCCCAACTAGAGAGCTAGGTGACTCAGTGGTTAGAGCACTGGTCCAGGAAGAGAATTGAGGCAGGAAAATCTAAGTGCAAATTCAGCCTCAGACACTAGCTGTGTGATCTTGACCAAGTTACTCAACCTCTAACTGCTTCAGTTTCCTTAACTGTAAAATGGGGATAATAATACCACCTTGTATCTCCCAGGATTGTTGTGAGGACCAAATGAGATCATATTGGTAAGGCACTTAGCACAGCATCTGGCACATAATAGGCACTCGATAAATGTTTGTTTCCTTCCCTTCCCTTTCCCAACTACATGCAAACATGACTAGATCACTTCAATTCTAAAAATAAAAGACTCTTCCCTTCATACTTCTGCTTCCATCTAGCTATTGTCCAATCCCATCCATCTTCCCCTATTCATGACTAAGCTTTTCTAAAGTTCTACATTCAGTGCCCACGACGTATTCATTAATACTTTCATCTATAAAAGGAGGAAACTACACTAGATTAGACTAGGTCCCTTCCATCTCTAAATCTATAATCCTATAGTTTTTGCCATATGTCTTCTACCCAGTCACTCTTCTGAAACCAGTCTCTAAAGTTCGTAATTACCTCCTAATCACCAAATTGAACAAACTTTTTTCAAAGCTCATCCTCCTATACCTTTCTACAGGTTTTAACATTGTTTTTACTGCCACTCCCTAATGACTCCTCACTCCTCACTTGACGTCAGAGAGAATTCATTCTCCTGATTCTCCTCCTTTCTCTCTGACCACTCCTCTGTCTTCTCATCCTCTTCCCTAGCCATTGACATGAATGTTCCAAAGGATCTATCCTTTGCAGAGCATCTCTTGTTTTTCTATAAACTCTTTCTCAGCAATTTCATTCACTCCTACAACTTCAACGATCCCCTCTATAAACATGAATCTAAATTCTATATCTCTAGCTCTGAAGTCTCTTTTGAATTCTAAACCCACATCTCCAGCTGCTTATGTCTCCCCCTAAATGTCCCACTAGCACCTAAAATTCAACATCTGAAGCTGAGTTCACCATCTTACCTTTCTAAATTCAACCTTTCTTCCTCTATTTCAATCTTCAATACCACTAGTCATCCTCTCTCCCATGTTCACAAACTGGGGGTTATTTTTGCTTCCTTTTTCCCTCCATGTTCATATCTAATCAGTTACCTAGCATTGTCGATTCCACCTCCCCAACAGCCTTGTGTCAGTACACGTCTCCATTCTCACTGCTACCACCCCAGTACAGGTTCTTAATAGCTCCTATTTTAATTATTGCCACAGCCTCCCAGGAGCTCCTCTCAACTCCACTCTGCTGACGGTCTCCAATCATTCTTTTGTTACTTCATGCCACATACTTCTTAATCAGTCAAATGAACCACCCTTTAAATTCCAAACATTCTTTGCACTTTCCTCAGCTTCTCATCTCTGTTTACACTCCCCCTCTCTCCCTGTTCTGTATATTTATTCCTAATGATCCTAGAGAGTCCAACCTATACGTCACTTTTTCCATCAAGCCTTGCCTGATCCCCGGTTAGTAATAACCTTCCTCTGAAACTTCACAGAGCACTTTGTTCTGTAGTTCTCTTGTGTACTTACTCTGTAATATTATGTTTTAGAAATGTCTGTGTTTGTGTCTCATCTTCCCACTATACCATGGTCTCCGTAAGGGCAGGATTAGTGCTGTTTCTAAACTTTGTACCTCCCTCAAGTTCTAACACAGTTCTCTACACAGATGAAAGTAAATACTTGTTGAATTGAATTGAATTGAACTGAACTGAATCATCATCCTGTGGGGCTAGTCACTTAGCTACCACCTGCCATCGCTTTGCCATTTGTCTATGAGCATATCTTGAGAGATTGTGTCAAAGGCCTTGCTAAAAATGAGATGTTCAATGTCTATGGCAGACCTTTGACCTGCCAGTCCAATAATTCTGTCAAAAAAATGACAGGAGGTTAGTCTGACTGTTTCTTAAATGAAGACATGCTATGTTACCATAATCACCATTTCCATTCCCAAGTATTCACAGATGATTTTTTAAATAATTCATTCTAAGATTTTATCAAGCTCACTAGCCTAAAATTTAAAGCATCCACCCTTTCCCTTTTTTTGAAAACTAAAATCTCGTCCTAACATACCTCTTTCAGCACTTCTCCCATCCTCCACGGTTTTTCAAAAATCACTAAACAATCCTCTCCATGCATCCTTGCAGAACCTTAGGATGTAATTCATTCATTCAATTAATATTAAGTGCTTCCTCTGTTCTAGGCCCAATGTGAGAAGGTACATGGGATACAAAGACAAAACCATAACAATCCCAGCCATCAAAAGCATATGTATACCTAAGTAAATATAAAATAAATAAATATAAACTAATACAACACAATGAAAACTAATGCAAAGTAAAATAAAAATACGAAAGCAAATAAAACTAATACAAAGCAAAAACAAAATGTTACCCATGGCCCAGCATTAGCCAAAGCTCTGGGTTCAGTCCTAGGGCCTGACCTCTAAGGGTTATTCATTGACAACTATATGAGTTACTCCAGGAAAATCCCTCATTATAGCTTAGGAATAACTCTTCATTAAGTTTTCCTAAATGTGAGTTTTCCTAAATCCCCAACTCCCATACAATTACTCAATGTAATCATAGCTTATCAAATGCATATTCCAAGGTTATACTTGAACCATCTTTTTTTTTTTTTTTAGGCAATTGGGGTTAAGTGACTCACCCAGGGTCACACAGCTAGTAAGTGTCAAGTGTTTAGTCTGAGGCCAGATTTGAACTCAGGTCCTCCTGACTTCAGGGCCGGTGCTCTATCCACTGTGCATCTTGAACTGCTTCAAGAGAACCAATTGTTAATTTTTCAATGTGAACAATTTTATACCTTGGAAATATGCAAAGGCTACAAATAAGAACTTGATTCATTATTCTATTGATTGTCTCAATTTAATAAAGTGTTAGTAATGCAAATTGAACTTAAAAGTATGTCAAGCTTACATTTTTTAAGAGAGCTAGTTGCTAAATATTTACCAGCACATTCCTGCATATCAGGTACTTGAGCCTTAATTTCATGCCACAGAAAATCCAGAAGGTGCCAAGGACTCACAAGAATGCAAATACAGATACAAAAAAGATAGAAAAGTCATCACAGTAGTTCAAACCTTCTCATGAATCTCTCTTTAACCTCTCTTTAACCTCCAAGTTCTTTGGGTTCCCTGAAAGTGAAACAGGCTTTTTGGAGCTGCTAAATGACAACAGTCCAAACCATTTTAGTACCTTCTCTCTCTTAATTATTCCCTATTCATCCTGTGTATGAATGTGTATGTGTATGTATAATACATATATATGGACATATAACATATAATACACATGTATGTATCTGTGTTTGAAAATGTTTGTTTGCTAGTTGGCTCCCTAACTAGATTGTAAGTTCCTTGAGGGCAAGAACTGTCTTTTGCCTCTTTTTATATTCTCAGTGTTTAGCGTGATACCTGGCACATAGCAGATGCTTAATAAATATTCCTTGACTGACTCGAAGGCTGGATGCTCTTAAGGAGCTAAGTGGGCAATCCTATTTTTTCCTTAGAAGGACTGATGCTCAAAATTAGGAACTCTCTAATCTGTAGTTAGCAAGGCAATCCCCCCATCCCCCACACTCCTGAGACAGGCCCTGCCCAGGAAATCTCCGTTCTACTAGATCGACTTTGTTCCCAGGGACATGCTGCCCGGGAGTAGAAACATACACAATAGTATCATTCATCAACATCCATCTGGGACCGTATACACAAGCATCTGCTTCTATCATAGGCTTTTGCTGGAACTCTGTTAGTGCCATAACTGCTGCTATCTCTTGAACTGGGCAAGTCAACTCTTGTCCCTGACCTGTCTTTGGAAAGGTACACCCAAGCACCTGCAATTCTCATGTTCATGTGGTACATGGTTACAATGGAAAGAGTTCTAGGTTTGAAGTCAGAGAACCCCTGGTTTCAAATTCCAACTATGCCATTTACAGGCTTTTTTTTTCTTTTTTCTTTGTATCTCTAGCACTTAGCATAGTACCTGACACAGAGTTATCATGTAACGCAAAGGTGTCAAACATTCTGCCTTCAATGATCCTGAGTGCAGCTGGAACCAGATTGAAATATAATTGGGAAAAATTTCATGAAATAAAAATTAAATTAAGTCAAAATGCAGTTCTCAGGGATCTTTATGAAGTAGCCCCCACTTCTACTTGAGTTTGATACCACTGGTGTAATAAATGCTTGTTGATTAATTATCTGTATGACTATGGTCATCATTTTACCCTGGGCCTCAGTTTCCTCACCTGTAAAATTAGGGAGTTATACCAAATGACCATAGTCCTATGGGGTTGGGCTGGATGACCTTTAATTTCCCTTCCAGATCTATATCTATGATTCTAAAAATTCTCTGACTCAAACTCACTGAAACTAGCTCTTATAATTTCACTCATCTTGAGTTTCAATACTCTGTGCATCATTTTTATTCTATACTTTCTGGTCTGAATATCATTCTGGTTAACAAGCCGTGTAATAGTGGCTTGTCAATAATGCAGTCCCCTGTCCAGTTTCAATAACGATGATATCTTAGTCAAGAAAGCCAGTATTCGTTAGGGAAGGCTCTGAAAATCAAAATCCTTCAAGACTTGTGGCTAGACACAAGGACTGCATAAAGAGGCACAAGCTGATTCAAAGAATAGGAACCATGAGGAGGAGGCTACTCATCCTTCTTACTCACCATGATGAGCTCACTGAAGAGGAAGAGAGGCTTCAACTCTGTTGTTCCATCCCTGACCTTTCTCTTGTCCCCTTTCCAAGGTTATTAAAACAATTGACATTTCAATCAGTAAGACTGTCTCTTTGGATTTGAGTAAGTTGTGTCTTTTCCCTTCTTATTATTTTAAGGCAAATCTTTAATGACTAAACAAATTTAAATTCAATTCTTGTACTCTGAGGCCAAGTTATCATAAAGAGAAAGAAAAAAATCACATGGGAAGTCTGCAAAGATAACCCTAAACCCAATAATTCTGGCAGAACTCTGATAACCCTGGAGCCCAAGGTGAATCCCTGTACTCAAGATTTATCCCCAGATCTTCATGCGTGGCACCAGGTCCAAGCTGAAAGGAAACAGAGTAAAAACTGACCCTTTCTCCATCCTGTAGTCCTGTGCTCAGAAAAAATATTTTTCCCACTCCTGAATGAGTTTCCTCAGCAGGTATTCCCCCACTGACTTCTATAGAAGGTTGCTCTTAATTGGTGTATTAGAATGGGAGGGAAAGGGAGGAGAATGAAATGAGAATGATTCTGTTCACCATCATGACATACCATCATCTTGACTACAATCATTGAGAAGCAACATGGCCTAGTTAACAGAGTATTGGACTTGGTGGTAGAAGGTCCTATAATTATAATAGTTAGTATTTATATAGCACTTACTATGTGCCAAGCACTATGTTAAGTACTTTACAAATATTTCCTTTTGATCTTCACAGCAATTTTGTGAGAGAGATGCTATTATTATCCCCATTTTACAGTTGAGGAAACTTGAGGCAAAGTAACTTGCCCATGGTCACACAGCTAGTAAGTGTGGCTATCCACTGTGCCACCTAGCTGCCTACCCCCTTATTGTGTGACCATGAGTAATTTAACCTCTCTGAATCTCAGTTTTCTCATCCATAAATGGGGATGATGATAATTATACCAGTAGTACTTATTTCACAGGGTTGCGGAAAGGTTTGAACGAGATAATGTGTGTAAAATATTTCCCAAACTTAAAATTGCTATGCATATCAGTAATTGTCATCTTTGGTTCACAAGCATCTAGGATTTCTTACCTTTCTTTCATTATAGCACGGCCTAGTGGGAAGAACACTCTTTTGAGTCTTGAATGACCTAGGTTACAATTCCCAGGCTCTAACTAACAAGTTGTTACAATTATCTAGAAAAGGAATGATGAGACCCTACATGAGGCTTGCAGCTCTATGACTGGGTAGAAAGGAACAAATGTGAGCAAGGCAAGCATTGACCAGGACCCCATAGTTGGGAAACTGGGTGGCTGGAAGAATAATGGTGCCTTCAGGAGTTACACCCCAAATGTATTTTCTTGCTGATTGGCATATGAAGCACAAGTATTATTCATTCAAAACTTTGAACTTTGGAGAACACACTAAATAATTTCTTTAAAATATAGCCCAAAAGAATCCTAAAGGCTGACAGAGAAATCATCCAGCACCT